TCAGTAACAGCCTTCCTTTTGTGCTCCATGTATCTTACCTGAAGACCAAGGTTTAGGGAAGTATTGCGCTTATGCTTTTTTTTTATTCAATGTGACCTCCAAATTCAAGCTCACAGCTTTCTATCTTCATATTTCTTTCATACACACTCAGAATTTTATATAATTGCTGCAAATTTGCAACACTCAAATGACATTTTCATACCATTGGAAAAGGATTCATGGGGGAAAGAGCTGCTTAAGTTGTATTTTAAGTACATCAATATAGCTTCCTATCATCCATATACCTCAAGGAGCTAATAAAATGTTTTATTTAAACTCATTTAACTTATAGGCCATGTTTAATTCTATTCAGGAAAAATAATAATAGATTTACAGCTAGCCAAAATGTATTTCCTTGAAAAATCTCACATTTTATACAAATAAATCTTGATATTGTTGCGGTCAGTGGCACTTTAAAATAGAGAACAATTTTCCACATGGACATCAAAAACTTTAGCATTTTCACATGTATTTTGCAGAAAGTATAGGCAAGCACAATAGCTATACCATCCATTTGAATATAATTTTCAAAAGGTAGAGACTATTTGGTGTGTTGGTGTGGGTGTGTTTATGTGTGGGTATGGGTAGGTGTGGATGCAATAACAATAGTTAATTAACATGTATGTGGCATTTTAAGGTTTGTAAAATCTTTTAGACACATTATTTCATTTGATCTTTACAACCCTGTGAGGTAGGTGCTATTATCATCTCCATTTCACAGATGAGAAGACTAAGGTTGAGAGATCTTAAGTGACTTGCCCAGGATCATCTGGCCAGTAAGTATCTGAGGAAGAATTCAAATGCAGATCTTCCTGACTCCTGTCTGTCTGTCTCTCTACCTCTTCATTCTTCTTCCCCCTCTTCATCTCTCTTTCCCTACAGAATGTGTATATGTGTTTTATATGAGTTTGGCACATTGGGAGCATAACAAATATTAAATCATAGCAATGTAAAATATTTCATCCCTAAGTGGAAAAATAAAATAAAGAAAAAGAAAGGGAGGAAAGAAAGGAAAAGGAAGGAAGGAAGGGGAGAGGGAGGGCGGGAGGGTGGGAAGGAGGGAAGAAGAAAGGAAGAAAAAGAGACAGTACAAAGAATCCAGGTCACAAATATTTTAAAATATCATTTATTTTATAAATAGGACAAATGGTAGTCTCTGTTCTGTAAATGCAAAAAAAAAAATCACCTTCAGTCTTCTGGGTGGCTCCCTCTAACTAATATATACAAATGACAAAAAGAAAACTGAGGCTGACAAATGACTGTTGACCTGTGCTAATTTGTTTTGGCAAAGAAGCTGGAGAAAAAAACTCAACGCAAGTTAGTCAAAAAAATGTTTCCAAATCTTTCTTTGAAAGAATTTTAACAATATGTGTCAAAAAAAAAATTGGTTCTGTGCCACAGTTCAGTGCCAATCCTTTTAAAAAGTCTTAAATATTACACATAGATGTAAATGTACATATATTTACAGGCATGTACAGTTATGGGCTAGAAAGCTGTGGCAGGAAATTCATTTTGTTGAAACTTTGGAGAGTTTTTACTCTTTTCTCATTCATTTTCCAGTATTACAAACAGCTTCATTCTTAATCTATGGATTATGAACATCTTAAGAATTATAAGACACGTCTAGCTCCTGATCTCAATAAAGCGTCTTTAACCATCCAATAATGACACCATTAAGTGTAGGCAATTAATCTCCTTCAGACTGACGTCATCACATTTGGGAACCACTACCAGTATTTCTTAATATTCCTCCAAGGGAATTCGGAGAATTCAGACCCGGAGTCCAAAAGCCAAAGCTGATTTCCACCAGTCAGGTAATATGAAATCACACTCACTTTTATCTAGAATTCCCTGGGTTTTCCCCCATTACTCCATTCACTGCATTTCATACTCTCATAGCTGGTGTGTTCTTTCAAAAGATTTTGGTGGTTCTTTCCTTGTTAGCATTTCTGTCATACATAGGGTAAACGAATACGATGCACACACCCATTTGAAGGTGATAAAATTGATACAAAGAAAGAAATATGGTGATGATAAGATTTAAATGACCCTGGTGACTCTGGGTGACACTAGTCGTGGTGAACAGGAAGTTGAAACTAAAGTTAATCACTGTGGGTGCTATGTAGCTGGTTGGATATTCTGTGCTTTAAAGAAATTGGACTTTCAGGTGATGATTCTCCCTTTGGAGAGGAAAAGCCTGTCACAATCAATGTTGCAAGACTGATATATTTTGAGGGCCATGCCTTTCTCTAAGTGCTTTAGCTTAAGCCTCCAAGCTTCAAGCTAAAAGAGATATGGTAGTCTCCATTATTCATCTTCCAAAAAAGACGTAGTACCTCAGTAGAGTACTCTGGCTGAAACTACAAGCTGGAAGAGTCATAACCTCATGCCCAACGGAGTCATTCACAAATCAACCACCAAACACTTATTAAGCACATCTATATGCCAGACAGTGTTCTAGGTGCTAGGGATACAAATAAAATAGGTGAAACAATCTATTTGCAAGGAACATACATCCTAATACAAGGAGACAACAAGGATAGGTAGATTAGATAGACAGATAGGTAGATAGATAGATGGATAGATAGATAGATGATATTATAAAGAGAATAAATAGAAAATAGCTAAATACAAGGTAGTTGCTGTGCCTAACAGCAACTGGCAGTGACCACAGGGCCAAAGGAACACCACAAAATAGCAGCCATCTGAGACCAGAAGGGAGTAATGTATGATAGAGGTTATATTTCATGCCTACATGCCTGAAATAGACTTGATGTCCCCTCAGACCAGAAAGAACTGGGCCCAAGGGCAAAAGTGACATCAACGGAAAGCATCAGCAACATTACTTGCCCCTCCGCCACCATGCCCTGTCCATATGTCTGTGTCCCTGTGGTAGGTGCTCTGGAAATATCCATTCTCTACATTTGTGGTCTGCCACATGTGTTCCCTAGGCTTATCAATTCTTCCCACTGATGATGAATATATTTGTGAGAGAATATTCCTCAGGTATATGGGGAAGAAATGTTTTATTATGACCTTGATTATCATGTTGTTTCAAGCTCTTACTTTCGACTAACAATGCCCTTTGGCTGATAAGAAAATGTAAATATATCAATGAGGATGGGTGAGCTATGCTTTTGGGTGGAAACACGCTCATGGAAGACCTTGAAATTGGGTAACATCTTGGGGCATCCAAGTTTGGGATTCCTAAGGGTGCTACATGTGATTTGGTGATTCATTTTATGATTTTTTAGACTCTAAATTCTCCTTTGACTGACATGTGAACAAACTCTTTAGAATTCTTTTAAGTAGTAGTGAGAAGCAAAGATTTCTACGGCCATAGAATGGTATCCGAAGATTTGTTTCCATACAAGATGATTCTGTCAACAGAATGCAAAAAAGGCCTGAAGTACACTGGGTGCACCCTCATGGAATGATGGGAGAACACAGACAAGTGTCACAGGATGATCAAGTATGGATATATCAGAGCAAGGAATTCTAAGAATAGAGAGGGGAATCAGCAGCACCCACTGACCCAGACATCTGCCCTGTGCTGCACACATCTGGCTCTGTTTAAATAGCTATTAGCCAGTAAACTTGAATTACTATGTATGACTTTATGAGGCCAAAATTTGGAAAACATTTTCCTCTTCCTCCCCATTCCCTCACCCAATAATGAAGTGCAAAAGGAAGTGATGAGTAATCAAATTTAAAATTACCCCCCCAGTCCTTGAGAATCTTTGCTTTTTTGAGAGATTCTGGATCAGTTTCTTTGCTAGTCAAAATTGCCGCACATATTATAGACCCCCTACTAACCAGGATCTATCAGTTAGATGGCAGCGCCATATTTATTTCCATGTTTACTTATGATATTGAATGATTTTGATGTATGGAGGGGATACACTTTTCTGGAAGACAGCCCTGAAGGTGATCTGAATGAGTTGTTTTGTTTTTGCAGAGGGATAACAGTGTATTAGTACCTTGTTCACTCATTAACAATTCATCATCTGTGACTATATCCACGGGAAGACAGAAATGACACTGTCCTTTAGGGGGAAAAATCATGCCAAGATCATTTTGGGGTGAAAATGGAAGGAAAATGAACAGGAAAAATGGGAAAAATTAGAAAAAAATTTTACCACACCTTTTACAATCAGAAATGATGGGGCTGCTACACTTGGATTCTAACATCACAGTCTCAGATGTGCTTATCATGAATATGCTTAGGCGGAAGCATCATTAAAGGAAACAAAAACAGGTAGAGCAGACCAATTGATCAAATGTATATGGAGGTCTTCTCCACCATAGTGGTGAAAACTTTTGGTCGTGAGGCTGTGCCTGACTCAGGCCAATCCCCTGGTAGTTTAAGGTTCAATTCTGGAATGAAATGAGACACTCATGTTATTCAACAGTTATCATTCAGCATTCAACAGTTTTAAGAGTCATACAAGGACATGACAAATGAAGGGATCAATGTTATGAGACAAATAACCACTATGATGGAGAAGACCCAGAACAGGATCCAGGTGGAAGAGGGATTCTATCCAGTCCTCCTGTCTGTGGATGCCAATGAGTTGATTGTGTTGAAGCCCCGAACACTGCAAAGTGTCCTGAGATAGAGTTCTATGTATTCAAAGGAGTTTGGTCTAACCATCACACAGGGAGAACCAAATGGATAAACAATGTCCTTGGCTCAGAGTTTGACAGGCACCTGAATGGATATGCCAGAGCTCATCCATTAATACGAAATCTGGAACAGACTGTACAGTTGGACACAGAGTTAGGGGGAGCCGTGGGAAATTTGAGGAGAGATGAAGATGTTTGAAAGAGCCATTGTAGTGACTAATTGAAGAAAATGAAAAGAACACATATTGAGTTTTAAACAATAGTAATGATGGGGCAGCTAAGTGCTACAGTGGATAGAACACAAGTCCTGGAGTCAGGAGGACCTGTGTTCCAATCTGGCCTCAGACATTTACTAGCTGTGTGACCCTGGAAAGGTCACTTAATCCCAATTGCTTCCCCAACCCATACAAAAATGAAGTCAGCTCTCTAGCCACGACATCAAAAGTGCCAAACACCTATCCTATGGGGGTAGTCTGGGGCCCTCAACACTCACATGTGCAGCCTGAAGCAGATTAAAATGCAACTGGGAAAAATTTAACAAAACAAATAAAAATATGATACATCAATAGATAGATAGAAAGATAGATATGTACATATAGGATAAACATAGAGAACAGCACATTTGAAAACCAAGTCAATCTGTTCCCTTCTCGGACCCTGAGGCAGGGTTTAATGACTCATTTCTATGAGCTGACCTGCCTCTCCTGACTCACACAGCTGTTCATGACGTGGATATGATCAAGGAAATAATTACTTAGGGGAAACCTCAGCATGCCAAACTCTACAGGGCCCCTGTGACACTGACATCTTGGCTTCCCCCAGGAAAGACAAACATCAGGTGTTTGTGGCGTTGAGGATGCTGGAAAGTAGTTGAAAGTTTGGTTTTGGGGTTTTTTTTTCTATTGGGTTTTCAAAGTTCAAGAAGAGGGACGGCCCTCCTATGCTCTCTCTCATCCCTGTGCGGCTGGTTTCTTTTCATCTTCCTTTTCTGCTACGTCTCTGTGCACACGAGGAGGAAGAATTTGGCCCACAAAGAGGAAAGCCTAACCCAAATGATGGAAATGCCCAAATGTCAAGCTCACCAGCTGGCTTTAGGACTATATTTGAAAATGGAAATAAGTGTGAGGATTTGGAAGAGAATGCAGTGGATTTGAATCTGGAGAGCTTCAGAAATAACTAACCTCAGGAATAAGAAGTCTTCTCTTGGACCAAAGGCAGCAGTTGACGGACAGCTGTGGCAATGACTTAATAAGAAAAATAATACCAATTCACCAAACTGGGCTGCATGAAATGGAAGGAAAGGTTAAAGAATTCTTCATGGCTACAAGGAAGGTCGAGTTCAACCATGTCATTCTTGAGGATTACGCTCACTCACCAGCCCTGTGCATTTTGACATATGTTTATTTAATTGAACTGTAAAATCAATAAAAGACTTAAGAGGGGCTCTTTTGGTTGTCTGTTCTTCCTAAAAGCTAGCTGGAAATGTCTGAACAGCAATGACAAGCCATAAACACTGGATTTTACCGTTTGCCCAACAACAGTGGCCTGTGTGTTGGCTGAGCTGGGGGGAAAACGTGGATAGAATGGCATTTTCTATTCTCTGGGCAGCCAGGAAGTCAGGTAGAACAAAAGATGAGACATCGTGTTTCCAGGTTCCCCTCTGCTTCTTCTCTTTAGAAAGGGGACAGTATTGAGAGAGAAACTTTCTCCCTCAACCTCTGGAAAATGCTCAGCCAGCATGCATTTATTTCAAGAAAGATTAAAGTGAAGAAAGGGAGGTAGGGAGGCACGGAGAAACCATTTGAAGGATCAAGGGAGCTAGAAAGTACATATAGAAATTTCTCAGAAATGGAGAATTTGGGCTTTAGGGTGATGGCTTGTCTAGGTGGCCAAACTAAGGCCTCTGGTGAGTGTCATGGAAATAAATACTTGGGTAGATATTCATTCCGATATTAATTGGAAAGATCATTGTCAGTGATCACCATCACTAGCTTGAACATGCTTTGACCTTTCCCTTCATCAGGTAGGCTCCAAGTACTTGAAAAATCTGGAATCAGTTTCTTCTGCCTCATTCTGATAAAAGCAAATGTCATCTGTGGTTCACGCTTGGTTTCTGCGCAGGTTCAGGCATTTGCTAAAATCTGGACCCAGAGTTCCTTTCTGTAAGGCTTTTTCTTCTCACAAGATGTTATCTATGCTAAAGTCAAAGCACAACATGATTTTTAAAAAAATTTACCCCAAAAGAAATCAGAAAACTAAAAATTCACATTCATGGAATGCTTTTAGCAGGAGTATGCTGGTAAATGTTTAACAACCAGCTCTCTGCGGGAGGGGATGTATATAAAATATGCTTTTAAATTTAATCCGCATTATTTTCACTCATTCAGTAAACATTTGTTAAGTGCCTACTATGTACCAGGCACTCTGCTAAGCACTGGGGATACAAAAAGAGGCGAAAGACAGTCCCTGCCCTCTAGGAGCTGACAATCTAACAGGGAGGCAACATGAAAACAAATATATACAAAGAAAGCTACATGGAGGATAAATAGGAAATAATTAACAGAGGGAAGGCACTGGAATTAAGAGGGATTGGAGAAGGCTTCCTGTAAAAAATGGGATTTTTAGTTGGAACTTAAAGGAAGCCAGGGAGGTCAACAGACAGAAGGGAAGAGGGAGAATGTTCTGGGCATGGGGGACAGCCAGAGAAAATGCTCAGATCTGGTTGATGGAACAGCCAGGAGGCCAGCGTCACTGGATCGAAAAGTACACGATGGGAAGACAGGTGTAAGAAGACTGGAAAGGGGCTAAGTCCTGAAAAACTTTGAATGCTAAATAGCATTTGGTATTTGATGCTGGAAGTAATCGGAAGTAATTGGAGTTTAACTAAATGGAGTGTGTGTGTTATGTGTGTGTGTGTGTGTTGTGTGTGTGTGTGTGTGTGTGTGTATGATATGATCAGATCTGCACTTTAGGAAAATTATTTTAGTGGCTGACTAGAGGATGAATTGGAGGGGAGAGAGAGTTGAGGCAGGCAGACCCACCAGCAGGCTGTTGCAATAATCAAGGCATGAGGTGATGAGGGCCCGCATCAGAGGTGAGGCAGCACCAGAGGAAGGAAGGGGGCATTTTTGAGAGATGGTGCAAAAGTGAAATCGACAGGCCTTGGCAATGGCTTGGATCTGGGGGATGAGAGATAGTGAGAAATCCAGGATGACTACTAGGTCGTGAGCCTCAGGAACTGAGAGGATTATACTGCCCTCTACAATAACAGGGAAGGTTGGTGGGGAGGTTTTTTGGGGAAAGATAATGAGTTCTGTCTTGGACATATTGAGTTTAAGATGTCTACTGGGCATCCAGTTTGAGATGTCTAAAAGACAGCTGGAGATGCCAGATGGGAGGTCAAGAGAAAGATTGGGGCAGTACAGGTAAACGTGAAAATCACTGGCATAGAGATGGTCATCAAATTTGTGGCGCTGGTAAGATAATCAAGTGAAATAGTATGGAGGGAGAAGAGAAGGCGACCCAGGAAGGAACCCATTTTTTCCATCACTTCTGTAAATATAGACAGTCAACAACAAATAAAAACCCCAATTTGTAGCATTTGCCAATTTCCAACGTATATATGCCCACATCGAAAATTTAACAATCAGCTCACATGAGCTAGCACAAACTGGCTCCAACATACCTCTGTCTTTCGACCTCTCAAAGAAGTTTCCTTCTATAAAGTAGACAATACAAGCATCATTATATTCCTGATTTTGTAGATCACATAATAAGAGTTACAGGTATAAAGGACCTTAGAAGTCATTGGGTCAAGCCCACTCACCTTACCATAAATTAAGTGGCCTGACCAAGGTTATATAAATAGTGAATGACAAACTCGGGACTTAAACATAGGTTCTCTGTCTCCACACTCAGCACTCTCCACTATACCACACTGGCAAAATTAAGGGAAATTTATGTTAAAAATTAGCATGTGAATAAGGCATTATGGTTCCCAAAGTACTTCAATATGTAATAATAGTATCTTTATAGCACTGGAAGGTTTACAAAGCTCTTTACAAATATTTGGTGTATGCTCTTTGACCCAGCACTTCCCAGCCTGCATCCCAGAGAGATCATGGGGGTGGGAAGGGGACCCACATGTGCAGGGGTATTTATAGCAGCTCTTTCTGTAGTGGCAAAGAATTGGAAATTAAGGGGATGCCCATCCATCGGTGAATGGCTGAACAAGTTGTGGTATATGAATGTAATGGAATACTACTGTGCTGTGGGAAATGATGAGCAGGTGGACTTCAGAAAAACCTGGAAAGACGTGTATGGCTGATGCCGAGTGAAGTGAGCAGAACCAGGAGAACATTGTGCACAGTAACAGCCACATTGTGTGATGACTAACTTTGATAGACTTAGCCCTTCTCGGGAATGCAAGGATCTAAGACATCTCCAAGGGTCTCATGACAGAAAATGCTATCCACATCCAAAGAAAGAACTATGGAGTTTGAATGCAGATCGAAGCATACTATTTGCTATTTTTTTTCCTTCTGTTTTGTTTTGTTTCCTCTTTCTTGTGGTTCCTCCTATTGGCTCTGGTTCTTCCTTACAACATGACTAATGTGAAAATATGTTTAATGGGAATGTGTATGTGGAACCTATAGCAGATTGCACGCCATCTTGGGGAGGAAGGCAGCGAGGGAGGGGGAGAAATATTTAAAACTTGAGAGCTTAGAGAAGTGATTGTTGAAAACTAAAAATTAGTTAATAAAAAAAAAAAGAAAAAGTATTAGCTCATTTGATCCTTACAACAACCTTGGGAGGCAGGTGATTTTACTACCCTTTTTGAGAGATAAGGAGACCGAGGCTGAGAGAGGACTTGCCCAGGCTCACACAGCTAGTGAGTACCTGAGGCAAGATTTGAACTCAAGTCTTCCCGAATCTGAGTACACTGCGCCTGTATTTATAGTAACTGTGTTCCCCATAAGTAACTACAAACATTATCATTCCCATTTTGAAGATGAAAAAAACAAGTTTCAGAGATGTGAAGTGATTTGCCCTTTATTGGCAAGGGGATCTAATAGGAAGGGTAGTTTGCCCAGTTGGAAGGAGGGACTGAAGGATCATGGGAGATAGAAAGCCACTGTGGATAGAAGAAACCCAGCAAATTTTCCCCACTCTCTGAAGAGAGGGAGGAGGATGGAGGGAAGATGGGCACCAGTGACAATCCAATGGCAGACGAGATAGCTGTTGCCCGGAACTGAAGCTACTCATGAATCTCCGGAGCCTCGTCTGACTCGCTAGCCCTCTCGTGGAGGTGTTTGCTTGCACAGACATTGCTCTCTGCCAGAATATACTTGTTTGCGTGCGTTAGGTCATGATGAAATTATCTTTGCTCTACTTTCTCCAAAACGGAAGTACAGCCCTTGTGAGATTCCTACTTTATTTAAACCGTGCTTCTTTGCTGTCTGGACTTTTGTAGATAAGACCTCCAGATAAATATAAACTGGCTTTTGTTGTTTTCCGAGCAAGTGCATGCTAAAAAAAAAAAAATGGACCAGGGTCCATGTCCAAAGGAAACCTGAGACCAATTTCCTTAGATTTCATGTGAACTGCGTACTAAGATGGAAGAGTAGAGAGAACATTCAAACTGACCTCTCCCAACATTCCCCACTAAACAACTTTAAAATAAGGTGTCGAATTGAATGCTGGAGCAGCATAACCAGCAAAATGTCAGGGGGAGACATTTTTTCCAGCCAAGGACAACTTAGGAGGCAGGAAAAAAAAGTCTGGGGTGCACTGGGGTGGGAGCCGGCTAGCAGTGCAGCTTGGAGACAATGCCAGCTGTGGGCCTGGGAGGTAGTGGCAGCAACAGCAGTGGCAGTACCAGAAGCCTTCACTGCCAAAAATGATAAAAGGTTGGGCATCTGGTCAGAAAGAGATTACAGGGGACCCCTGTGCTGGCCCTGGGTGCAGGACTGCATGCCAGACTGGCAACACCTTAGCCATTACCCAATTCCCTGTTGCGGTTCCAGGGTGGAGAGAGGAATGCTAGTGCTTATAGTTGCAAGAGAGTGGGGGCCCTACCTGGGTAAGGACAGTATGCAGACTAGAAGAACAATGACCATACCTCTCCTCAGACCTCTCCTTCCAGACTGTAGAAGCACTGAAAATTTATAGACCCCTGGAACTAATAGTAAAAACAGCAGAGCACAAAAAGCCTGAAGCGTGAGACAATGACCTCCCCCCCAACCAAGGTAAGCAAAACCCAAGTCTAACACAAAGTTCTAAGTCAAGAAATGGTCTGGGGGAGGGGCATAAGCAAACAACAACAGCAAAAGCACCTGACTATAAAGCTCCTATGGTGACAGGGAAACCCAAGACACAAACTCAGAAGACAATGACTTTAAAACATTTACAGGAAAAAATTCAAAGAAAAACACAGATTGCACACAAGACTAACAAGAACTCTTAGAAGATGTGGCACAGTGGATAGAGCACCAGCCCTGGATTCAGGATGACCTGAGTTCAAATACAGCCTCAGACACATAACACTAGCTGTGTGACCCTGGGCAAGTCACTTAACCCCACTGCCCCCCCCCAAAAAAAAAGAATTCTTAGAAGAGTTAAAGAAAGAGATAAAAAAGAGACAAAAAAGTTTAATCACATAAGAGTTGTAAAAGAAAAAGTGGAAAAATAAGAATAATGCAAGAAAATTATGAAAAAAAAGAATTAACAATTTGGTTAAAAAATATTGAAGTAAATAACTCCTTAAAAAGTAAAATTGGCTAAATGGTAAAAAAAAAAAAAGTACAAAACCTTCAACGAAGAAAACAATCCCTTACAAAGCAGAATTGGCTAAGTGAAAACTAATGACTCCACGAGACATCAAGAAGCAATAAACAAAGTTAAAAGAATGAAAAATAGAAGAAAATGTGAACAAAAAAACCCCCCTACCATTGACCTGGAAATAGATCAAGGAGAAATGATTTAAAAAGTATTGGATTACACCAAAGAATTGGAAATTGAGGGGATGCCCATCAACTGAGGAATGGCTGGACGAGTTGTAGTATATGGATGTAATAGAATACTATTGTGCTATAAGAAATGATGAGCAGGCAGACTTCAGAAAAAACCTGGAAAGACTTGTATGGACTGATGCTGAGTGAAGTGAGCAGAACCAGAAGAACATTGTATACTGTAACA